AGAATGTATTTTTTGTGGGGTCCTCTTGGAGAGAGAATGAAGAAAAAAGAAGCATAATTCTGCACGTTACGCGCACCGTGCGCGCCCAGATGGTGCACGCCATCTAGATGCGTAATTAACTACTCTTTTTTGACAAAATAAGTCATTCATTGCAACCAATCTGGATTTCTATATGGTGGAAAAAGATGTGAATAATTAGGCAAAAGAAAATCCAGAAAAAGCTCTATTTGCTTACGTGGAAAACTCCTTTGATCAGTTCCTAGATGGAAGGCCTTTCATACAAAAATTCTGCCTACAAATTGAATGTTGCACTATGGGGAGAGGTTTGACAAGAAAGTTGGATCGCTGGTTACGTGTGTCGGTAGACAAGAATGTGTCAAGGCTAGTGCTCAGAACTAAAAATCTTTGGTCACCATTCAAATACTCTGTTCCTCAGCATGTCTTCATTGCACAAATGCTTGAAGTTTTGGATTTGTTTTGGTGTACATTGGATACAGATCGCATTGTTCATATTGATCTACCGCGTCTAGAAACGCTCTCACTTTCCCACTGCTGGATTTCAAGTGACAAATTGCTGCAAAAGATTGTGTGTGATAGCCCTAAGAGTAAACACATTGTGATTTCTTAGTGCCAAGGAGGACAACCAATGCACTCTATTTTTGTTTAGAAAACATGTATATTCATGTATCGAAACAGTGAAAAACATATACAAACATTCATACTATATTGATATAAATTGCATGTATATTTCAAAGCATATACTTCAAATTAACAGGATTTCAAAATGTAAATATGCAATTTATTGGCAATGTGAACAGTTAGAAATGTTAATTAGAAAGTAAACATACCGTGCACCGAAAGTGCATACTAATAACGTGTTATAATTGATTCCTTTAGCTCGTAGTGTTTCTCAATGAAACGGATTCATCGGATGAACATTAACAATATAATAATAATAATAATAATAATAATAATAATAATAATAATAATAATAATAATAATATAAAAAGAAAATAGAGAGAAAACATACAAAGATAAAACACTTCAATATCTTATTCCAACAATCCATTCTTCATTACATAATACATAGATATATATAATTACAATCGTAACGGAAAACAATAATGGAGATGGAGACATAAATACGATCGCTACACAATAATAATGTCCACATAAATGTAGTATTAGCTTCTTTTTTTTTCTTTTTTTTTTTTTCAATCATGTAAATTATCTTTACCTTATTCTTCACCATATGCATTTTCATCTACATGGATAGAAAGAGTTTGCAAGAACAACCTAACAGTTGAATACACAATGTATTTGCTTGTCTGGTGGAAGAACCATCGGAGCGTGCGTTTCCACTTGCTAGCAACCACATACGGAGGATATTTTCTTGCCTTGTGGAACAACCACCGAAGTGCGGAACTATAGTGTTACCACTAGAGTTTGGGTTTCTACCGGTGGTGCACAAATCCAACCGAGGAGCAACGAGAAATCTGCTAATCCCGTGGAACAACTTGCTCAATCCCATTGTAGGTATTTCCTTATACTTTATCTTTAATTTTTATAATTTAATTTCTATTTTGAATTATTTGGATGATTGTGATAATATTGTGATTTGTTAGATTTTTTTTTTTGAATTGTTTTTTTAATGTTTTTTATTTGTAAAAAGTATTGTTAATGTTTATTAATTATTTTATATATTTTTGAATTATTGTTGCTTTTCGTGAGTTTTGTAAATTTTGTTAATTATTTTTTATTTATTCCAAGTTCTTTTTAATTTTTTGAATTATTTTGTGAATTTTAACAATTATTTTGATTTCCTTGGAATTTTATTTTTTTTACTTTTTTTTTAAAAAAATATTTTCATTTTTTAAATATTTTATTGTGAATTACTGTGAATTTTAAGAAAATATTGTGAGTTTTTTTTTTTTTAGAATTATTATGAATAAGGGTTAATTTAATTTAAGGTTATAGATGTATTGTGGTGAACTATTGCTACTTTTAGAGAATTCTTGTAAATTTTTAAAAATTATTTTTAATTTTTAGATTTTATTGCACATTTTATTTGGGAATTATTATTTTGAAATGATTGTGGATTGGGGTTAATCATTTTAAGGTTATAACTTATAAGTAACTTATTAGTGACCTTTAGTAAATTATGGTGAGTTATATTGACATGTAATTGATAAAAGTTGGGTGAATGCGTCTTAGAATAGTAATGCATATGAAGAAAGGGTTAAATTATATTTAGACTTTGTAAAGAAAAAAAAAAAACATCTTGATAGACCTAGGAGGTTTTTTTTTTTTTTTTTTTTTTTTTTGTCCTTGTAAATAGTGTCGTAATTGTATAATATTGGGTAACATTCTAAATCATTTAATCTATAAATGGCTTACTCGAAATTACATAAAATAGATAAATGCATATCATCCCATATAGAATTCACACACACGACCACGTGAGTGCAGACAACCGCAAACAGCATATGTGCACTATTAGTTAGTCAAGGCTAGTAGTTCTACATATCAGGGTTAGTTAGAGTTTTAGTTGTGATATACTCTGTAATCTTTATCCTGTTTCTAATTGAATCGAAAGACATTCTCTAATCCACAACACGTGCACAAATGGGTAATAGTGTGCATTTGTTCGAAGCATACGGTATTAGGAAATGAAAACCTAAAATTGTAATCGCCACTCAAATTCACTAGATCCCGCTACCTAAAATTGTAACCGCCACTCAAATCCACTAAATCCCGCTACCTAAAATTGTAACCGCCACTCAAATCCAATAAATCCCGCTACCTAAAATTGTAACCGCCACTCAAATCCACTAAATCCCGCAACCTAAAATTGTAACCGCCACTCAAACTCACTAGATCCCGCTACCGTTCCCACTGCTTGTCGTAATAATATATATATATATATATATATATATATATATATATATATATATATATATATATATATATATATATAATACGGTATTAGGAAACAAAAACCTAAAATTCTAACCGCCACTCAAATTCACTAGATCCCGCCGTCGTTCCCACCGCTTGCTGTCATTGTCACATGGCCTTTCTTCCTCACTGTCATCGCTTGCCTCTTACAGTTTCCCAAAACTAGCCTCTAGCCACTCAACTCTCAATGTCGCTCACCACCACTTGCTACTACTTGCTCAATCTCATTGTCAACACACGGTATTTTCTTTTATTTTATCTTTAATTTCTATTTTGAGTTTTTGGGATGATTGTGATATTATTATGATTTGTTAGATTTTTTTGAATTATTGTTTAATGTTGTTTATTTTTTAAATTATTGCAAATTTTATTAATTATTATATATATTTTAGAATTATTGTTGTTTTTTGTGAGGTTTTTAAATTTTGTTAATTATTTTGATTTATTTAATGTTCTATTTAATTTTTTGAAATATTTTTGTAATTTCAACAATTATTTTGATTTCTCTCGAATAATTGGTAATATGTGTTACTTTTTTTGGAAATGTTTTCATTTGAATATCTTATTGTGAATTACTGTGAATTATAAGAAAATATTGTGAGTTTTTTTTTTTTTTGAATTATTATGAATTAGGGTTAATTTATTTTAAGGTTATAAATGTACTGTGGTGAATTATTGCTACTTTTAGAGAATTATTGTAAATATTTAGGAATTATTTTAAATTTTTAGATCTCAATAAAGTCTATGATTGGTTTGAAGAACGTCTGGAGATTCAGGCGATTGCGGATGATATAACTAGTAAATATGTTTATGCATTTTGTTTGGGAATTATTATTTGGAAATTATTGTGGATTAGGGTTAATCATTTTAAGGTTATAAGTAATTTAATAGTGACCTTTTGTAAATTATGGTGAGTCATATTGACATGTGATGGATAAATGTTGGATAAATGCATCTCAGATTAGTAATGAATATGAAGAAAGAGTTAAATAATATTTAGAATTTGTAAAGAAAAACAAAACATTTTGATAACCATTGGAGGTTTCTCTGTCCTTATAAATAGTGTCATAATAGAACAATATTGGGTATAAATCACTTAATCTATATATAAATGGTTTATTCCAAATTACATAAAATGGATATGATATGGCGAAGGTGAAGTGTCTTGTACATTTAACATCTATACTGGCAATGAAGGTATGAAAATGAGTACTCGGCTCATTTATTAAATGAAATGTTTGTGATAATGTTGGAAAAGATTATTAGTCGGTCACAAAGAGTTGGATATGTATTACCAAGTGATGCAAAAAAAAAAAAAAAAAAAATTGCTTTTGTGTTTAGGGTACATATATAATATATTGAAACATAATTAAATTTTATAATTTCACATTCTGGATTTATAGTTATGAAATTATGAATGTGTAGTTATGCAATTCTGGATTTATAGTTATGAAGTTATGGATGTGTAATTATGCATGCAATTCTGAATGTATTAAAGGTATATATTCATTCCAAAAATTTTCAGAAAAGATTTGTGTATGCCGAAATATGTATATAATATTTATTTATACTGAATGTATTAAAGAACTCTAAATTTTTGTTTAGAAAACATGTATATTCATGCATCGAAACAGTGAAAAGCATATACAAACATTCATACTGTATTAATATAAATTGCATATATATTTCAAAGCATATACTCCAAATCACCAGGATTTCAGAATGTAAATATGCAATTTATTGGCAATTTGAACAGTTAGAAATGTTAATTAGAAAGTAAACATACCGTGCACCGAAAGTGCATGCTGATAACATGTTATAATTGATTCCTTTAGCACGTATGTAGCGTTTCCCAATGGAACGGATGGGATGAACATGAACATGAACAATATAATAATAATAATTATATAAAAAGAAAATAGAGAGAAAATAGACAAAGGTAAAACACTTCAATATCTTATTCCAACAATCCATTCTTCCTTACATAATACATGGAGACATAAATACGACCGTTACACAATAATGTCCACAATAAATATTATTTATAACAAATTCGTAGTATTTTTTTTTCTTTTTCAATCATGTAAATTCTTTATTTTTATCTTATTTTTCACCATATGCATTTTCATCTATAGGGATAGAAAGAGTTTGCAAGCTGAGGCAGACCCAGGGACGGAGCTGGCCGGGGGCCGTGGGAGCAGCTGCTCCCACTGCCAAAATTTAGACTGCCCCAAAACGACGTTGTTTTGGGGCTGTTATATAAATATATATAACTTTTTTAATTTTTATTTCCTTTCTTACGCGGTTACGCCCCAGCCGACGCTATTCTCCTCTGTCCTCTCTCCTCTACCTCGCGCCCTAGCCAGACGCCACCGCCCACCAGACACCGTCACACCAGTCGCCGACTCGCAGCTTCGCCAGCTTCTTCTTCAAGCTTCTATCGTCGCTAGCTGCGCTGCCTTGTCTTCAACCGTTACCGGCTCCGTCTTCACCCTCATGCCTCAGGTTCATATATAGTTCATCGACTCCGTTTATTAATCTTAATTTGTTCAATTGTTTGCCTAAAGGTTTGAGTTTTGAACTTATCCAACAATCTTATTATGTTTTTCTCCTAATTTTCCTTTTTTTTTTTTTGGCAAATTTTGCCCTAATTACTTAATCTGTCTATAATTGATTAAATTGAATATCCAGTGTTTGGTAATTTGGGTATGTCATGTGATCAAATTTGTTCGAATTGTTGCTGTTTGGTGGCTGTCTTTGATCAAATTTTGGTAATTTGGTTAAAGCTTGAAAGTATATCTTCTGGCAAAGCAGCTATGGAAGTTTTCAGTTTAAATTAAATAATGTGGTTGTAAGTAGTGGTCAAATGTTTCAAAATGCTCCACTTCTTAAAAAATGCGAGCAAACTAATGTTTGTTGACTTGTTGTGATACCTTATTTTGTATTAGCTTGGATGTTTCCTCTGTAAAGCTAAAGTGGATATTATGTGAATTCCTTTCTGTTATCCTCTAGCACTATTGCAGTTGAGCTCTTCTTTGATAATTCTTTTGGTTCTCTCTTTGAAATGCCTGATACTGCATGAATGCTTCAAAGTTTTTCTGCACAAATGCCTCCCCTAACGGTAATGACATTCTGTGTATTAGTGAGAACTGAGAAGTGTAACATTTTTGTGGCAATTGTTATATGGTCTCCGTTTTGAATGTGATAACGCACCAAACAAATGGATTGTTTACTCAAGAAGAAAGGAAAGAAATCAAGAAATAAAAAGAAAGGGGAATCAGTCATCCAATCAAGTAGTAGATTTCCAGAATACAAATAAGGCATGAGTCAGGGGATTGCTGCAGATTTCAGGGATTGCAGCAGATTATCAGGAGAGAATTTTAGGGTGTTTACTTTTATAACATATATATGAGAATATAAATAAAGGAGTTCCCCTTAGTAATAGGCAGGCAGTAGTAATCATAAAATAAGAGCTTCTTACAGCTGGGCAAGACTATTTCTTGCTGGAGGATATTTTATCCTTGTTTCCTGGTTACTTTTAATTCAATTCGCTGGTTTGTTTCTTCCTCACAACTCTTATCTCTAACAAATTGGTCCGACCTGCCGTGCAATGACCAACACACGAATGGATGCTCGTGTGGACTCATTAGAGAAGAGCCAGGAGGAAATGCATACAGAGATGGAGGAAATGCGTTCTGAAATAAAAGACCGTATGGATGGGATAGAAGGTACGCTTGCCAAGATGTCCGAGCTACTCTTTTCACTACATTGGAAAAGGTCAGTAGAATCTAGTGTTTCTCCTGTGGTTGCTGCGGGCAGAAATTCCTCTTCAGATAATATCGATTCCGCACCAGTACCATTGCACTAGGTTCCTTCGGTCATTCTTTCGCTGCAGCCTGGCCGGTTGGAGATTCCAACATTTGATGGCACGGATCCGGTGGGATGGCTAGTACGGGCAGATCAGTACTTTGTCATTCAATGCACCCGTGAGGATTTAAAGGTGCCAACAGCTTTCATCAGTATGGAAGGACCAACACTTCATTGGCTCCGTTGGCTTCAACAGCAACATCCATCTCTCACGTGGAGTCAGTTTACAACAGAGCTTTTGGAAGAATTTGGTGGTGAACTTTCCGGGCCTCCGATTGAACAATTAGCCGCGCTTCGCCAAATTGGTACTGTAGACGACTTTGCTAATATATTTAGAGCCCGTGTTGCCCAAATTCCATGTTTAGCGCCTCAAATTCAGCTAGGGTTGTTCCTCAATGGACTGAAGCCGGCAATCCATGTGCGCCTCCGACCAAATGATGTGACAGATTTACGTATAGCAATAAGGGTTGCACGTGCTGTGAAACGTGAATTGGAGTTCCTCTCTTCTGGTCGTATTCCGGGACGAGTGGTTGATGAAGATGACAATTCTTATAATAAGAAGACTTCTGCTGGGATTGGATGGTCTTCTGGGCCTACTAAACATTCTTCAGCCCATTCTTATGTATCTAATCATCCTACGCCCAAGCCATTATCAAACAACCCTCACCAATCAGAAAAAAATCACACCACTTCATATAATTCCCAAACACGCTCTTTTGTTCCTCCTATTCGAAATTCTAGTATGAATACACCACAGAAGCAGGATCGCCAATTCTCCCACCGCGAGTATATGGATATGAGAAACAAAGGTCTGCTTTCGTTGTCAGCAACCCTACAGTCCGATGCATGTATGTCCGAATAAGTCTCTACGAACTCTCATTGCAGCAGAAGATGAGGGGGATGATGCAGGTGAAGAACCATCCGAATTACAATGCATCGACTCAGAGCACTTGCAACCAGATACAGTGCAATATTCATTTTTGGACCTTCCATTGACAGCCCTTGGAGGAATCGACGGCCCAAAAACCATGAAGTTTAGAGGCCAAGTTGCAAGTACAGAGGTCATCATTATGGTGGACAGCGGTGCTAGCCACAACTTCATCTCTCATAGATTATCTACCAAGTTGCAGTATCCATTGGAACCCACACAACAATTTGGAGTCAAGTTAGGGGATGGTCGTCGAGTTGAATCCAAAGGCAAATATTCACAGTTACCAGTTAATTTGGGTCCTGTCACAATGACATTGGATTGCTTTGTCTTCCCATTAGGAGGTGTTGATATGATCCTTGGAGTCGCATGGCTAGAAACTCTGGGCAATATCAAAGCAAATTGGGAAAGAATGACTATGACTTTCAAAGTTGGGGATCGCCCTATACAGCTTAGTGGGGACCCGTCTTTATCTCGACTCCCTGTCTCTGTCAGTGCATTGGAGAACCCAAGTGATGTTGATTTCAGTTGTCTATTGTGGGAGATTACTGCTCTGCCTTCATCGAACAATGAGGATATAGAGATTTCTAATTCATAACACTCTCAACTCTGTAATTTATTGCAGCAGCACTGCCAAGTTTTCGGTGATCTGCAGGGTTTACCTCTTTCTCGGGCTAATGATCATCAGATTGTTTTAAAGACAGGAACAACTCCAGTAAGTGTTAAGCCTTACCGCTATGGTCATCATCAGAAAGACGAAATAGAACGAATGGTTGGTGAAATGCTTGCAGCAGGAATTATTCAACCTAGTTCCAGTCCATTTTCTAGCCCAGTGTTATTGGTGAAAAGAAAGACGGTAGTTGGCGATTTTGCGTCGACTACCGAGAGCTCAATAAGGTAACGGTAGCAAACAAATATCCAATTCCAGTCATACAGGAAATGCTAGATGAACTTCATGGTGCTCGATACTTCTCCAAAATTGATCTCCGTTCCGGGTACCATCAGATTAAGGTTGCTACACAAGATGTGGCTAAAACTGCTTTCCGAACGCACTCCGGGCACTATGAATTTTTGGTAATGCCATTTGGATTGACAAACGCACCAGCCACCTTTCAAGCAATTATGAATGACATCTTCCGTCCCCTCCTTCGACAATTTGTGTTGGTATTTTTCGACGATATACTAATATATAGCACTACTTGGAAGGATCACCTGAATCATCTGTCAAGGGTGCTGGGAATACTATCTGCCCACCAGTTTAAAGCAAATGAAAAGAAATGCCAATTTGGCCGGACGACAGTGGAATACTTGGGGCACATTGTTTCACAATATGGGGTGGCTATGGATCCAGCAAAAATATCCTGCGTGCTGCGTTGGCCTCAACCTAAATCCACAAAGGCTGTTCGGGGATTCTTGGGTATCACAGGCTACTACCGTCACTTCATACAAAACTATGGGAATATAGCTCAGCCGTTAACTGCACTTCTCAAGAAGGATATGGCAGAAAAATTTCATTGGCCCAATAAGGGGCAAATTGCCTTTGATGCGTTGAAGGCTGCTATGACTTTTGCACCAGTCCTAGCAACACCAGATTTTTCACAAACCTTCATTATTGAGTGTGATGCTTCAGGGACAGGTGTGGGTTCTGTTCTTATGCAAGAAGCACGTCCGATAGCATACTTTAGCAAGGCCCTCTCGGGTCGAACCTTGGCAAAATCAGCTTATGAGAAGGAACTGATGGCACTAGTCTTAGCCATTCAACATTGGAGACCATATCTTGGCGGAAGAAAGTTTGTGGTTCGCACTGATCATAGTAGTTTACGCCACCTCTTGCAACAACGAGTTACCACCCCATCACAACAAAATTGGGTAGCCAAGCTAATGGGTTATGACTTTGAGATCGCTTACAAGCCTGGCAAAACAAACAAGGCGGCTGATGCTTTATCCCGACAACATGAAGAGTTAGAGTTATCTGCAATATCCTTACCTTTTTGGTTAGATTGGGATGTCCTTGAGGCTGAAATTTCACGGGATACCAATTTAAAACTCATTAGGGATCGACTGGAGCAGGACCCCACTAGCCAGCCACCATTTCAGCTTGTTAATGGGCGGTTGTTTTACAAAGGGCGCATTGTCATACCAGCTACCTCGCCATGGATACCAAAACTATTGGAGGAATTCCATTCTACACCTACAGGAGGTCACTCGGGGGCTTATCGCACTTACCGTAGACTGGCTGCGAGTGTATACTGGCAAGGAATGATGAGACGTGTCCAGCAATTTGTCACAGAATGCCTCAGTTGCCAGAAAAATAAGTATGACACCTTGGCCCCTGATGGCTTACTCCATCTGTTACCTATACCATCAGTAACTTGGGAAGATATTGCTATGGATTTCATCACCGGACTACCTCGATCAAATGGGCTGGATTGCATATGGGTGATAATAGATCGCTTCACTAAATATGCCCATTTTGTGGGGCTACGACACCCGTTCACCGCCAAATCACTTGCTGACATCTTTATGAAGTAGATTGTTCGCCTACACAGAGTACCACGATCCATAGTAAGTGATCGAGACTCGGTATTCTTAAGCAATTTCTGGAAGGAATTCTTTGCCAAGCTCGGAACTAAGCTGCGAAGGAGCAATGCTTACCATCCGAAAACAGATGGCCAGACCGAGGTCCTTAATCGTTGTCTAGAACAATATTTGCGATGCTTTGCTTCTGAGCAACCCAAACAATGGGGACGATATCTTCATTGGGCCGAGTATTGGTACAATACTTCGTTTCAAGGGGCTGTCGGGATGTCACATTTTCTTGCCGTATATGGGCGACCCCCTCCGATTTTGGGATGATTGTGATATTATTGTGATTTGTTAGATTTTTTTTTGAATTATTGTTTAATATTTAATGTTGTTTATTTTAAAAAATTATTGCAAATTTTATTAATTATTATATATATTTTTGTATTATTGTTGTTTTTTGTGAGGTTTTTAAATTTTGTTAATTATTTTGATTTATTTAATGTTCTATTTAATTTTTTGAATTATTTTTGAAATTTTAACAATTATTTTGATTTCTCTTGAATAATTGGTAATATTTGTTACTTTTTTGGAAGTATTTTCATTTGAATATCTTATTGTGAATTACTGTGAATTCTAAGAAAATATTGTGAGTTTTTTTTTTTTTTTTTTTTTTTTTTTAATTATTATGAGTTAGGATTAATTTTTTTTAAGGTTATAAATGTATTGTGGTGAATTATTGCTACTTTTAGAGAATTATTGTAAATATTTAAGAATTATTTTAAATTTTTAGATTTTATTATGCATTTTGTTTGGGAATTATTATTTGGAAATTATTGTGAATTAGGGTTAATCATTTTAAGGTTATAAGTAATTTAATAGTGACCTTTTGTAAATTATTGTGAGTTATATTGACATGTGATGGATAAATGTTGGATGAATGCGTCTCAGATTAGTAATGAATATGAAGAAAGAGTTAAATAATATTTGAAATTTGTAAAGAAAAACAAAACATTTTGATAACCATAGGGAGGTTTCTTTGTCCTTGTAAATAGTGTCATAATCTAAAAACATAATAAGCCTCAATTAAGGTTATATCCTTGATTTATGTCCCTCTTTTTGTATGCAAATAAATGTGTACATTTTAATTTAAATATTGTACATTCCAATGTTATTAGACAAAGCTACTCTTACACCGTTATAACATAGTTAGTTTTTAATTTTAACATTGATAACACATCATTATTACCATACACATATATCTATCATATCTTTTTTCTATTTTTTAATTATCATTTTATTAAAATCATTATATATTAATTTAATACTTAATTATATTTTAATTAAATTTCTATGAATGATAAATTATATATGTGTGTACAAAATACATATATTATTTGTGTATATATAATTCAAATTATAATTTTTAATTATTTGTATTTATTATTTTTTAATATTGGGCATAAATTTTCGCGCATCGTGCGTACAAAATGATAGTAGAACAATATTGGGTATAAATCATTTAATCTATATATAAATGGTTTATTCCAAATTACATAAAATGGATTTTATATGGCAAAGGTGAAGTGTCTTGTACATTTAACATCTATACTGGCAATGAAGGTATGAAAATGAGTACTCTACTCATTTATTAAATGAAACTAGTTTTTTACGCGCATTGCGCGATTGGGATAATGCCCAATGCTTTTTTTTTTTTTTTTAAATAAGTACTTTAAAGTATATTAAGACAAGATTATATTGAAATTGTTCATGCATAGATAATTGAAGGTTGAATTTGCGTATTTAAATAGGTAATTCTTCTCCCAAAGGTTGAGTCCCCAACCCCAAGGCCCCCCACACTCCGACCCAACAGAGCATTGTGGGAAGTTGTAAATCACGGTGACTCAATGGTTCAGCAGACAGGGCCAAATGCTGATACGCACAAGGAATCTGCCCACTTTGAACATAATTCCCGCATTGCCGCCGTCGAGGTTCAAACCTTGGTCTCTTCTCCCAAATACTACCCACTAAACCATTGAGCTAAGCCCGTGCAGATTAAATAGGTAATTCTAAGTTTACAAATGCAAGATAATATAGTCAATATTGATTATAATTGTCAATAAAATAATTGTATAGGTATGGTTGAAATCAAATACGGGACATGCATAAGGGAGAACAAATACAAATTAGGGCATAAAATATTAAATATATACTAATATTGTTTGAGGAGATTCCGACATTAGGATTTGTGGTTAAGTTCTATTAAGACTTTTTTATTAGAATTAGATTAATGGTGTAGTTATAATTCTATATTAGACTTTAATATTAGAATTAGACTAACGGTGAATTAACGGAAAAGTTAAATGGATAATCATATAATTAAGGATAAATTAGAAAATCTTAAAAGAAAAAAATTAAAATCTGAACAATATGAACCATTCATTTGATTTAATAATTTGGCAGTCATTTTTTCTACCCAATGTTAATAATTAAATAAGGTCTAATCCGCTAACGCTAACCGCTAACTGCTAATTGTCAAACAAGGACATTGCGAGGTAGTTCTCACTTCAATTATTTGTTGTGTGATTTGAATACTCTCTTTGTCACAAAATCTCTCAAGTAGTTAATATGGTTGGCTTTATTAATTATATTTTTTAAATTTTTTCATGGTATTAATAAAATACTTGGTAAATAAATATATAGCATTATTTTATGTTATAACTTTGATATTTAATTAGAAAAATAATGCACAAAAAAGATAATAGATAATGTAGTGAATATAATCAATTGATGAATTTGAATGTAAAAATTTTTACATTTGAGAAAAATAAAGACAATATAACTAATGGAAATATTTTTTTTAATTAATTTATTGATAATTAATAATTTGTTTTTCACTGAATAAAGACATTGTAAGGACAATGTAACGAGTATAATCAATTAATAAATTTGAATATAAAGAATTTTTATATTGAAGAAAAATAAAGACAATATAACTAATAAAATTATTTATCTTATTTAATTTATTGATAATGAATAATTTTTTTTTTTGAATAAAGACATTGTGGACACATAATTCTAAATTAAAGAAATGCATATGTATTATTTTTTGTTGTAACTACTAAATTATTATTTATATAATTTAATAAGAGTAAAATAGAGTACTAATTATGCCAACTTTGATTGGGATGAGGTTCGAACCTAAGACCTTTTTTTATTAAAATCAATGAGTAAGTTAACGGTGAACTAACGGCAATTCTTAAAATTTTAACGGAATTAGTAACGGTGTGTGGGTATTTTAGGAAATTTTAGTGTAAAATTTAAATCTGATCAATCTTTTAATCAATCTGAGCCATTCATTTGATTAAAATATGTGACCGTCATTTTTTCTACCCATTATAGGCCTAACTCTCTTGGGCTCTAATTAGTATAGTAGATGTTTGCGATAATGTTGGAGAAGGTTATTAGTCGGTCACAAGAGTTGGATATGTATTAACAAGTGATGCAAAAAAAATTGCTTTTGTATTTAGGGTACATATATAATATATTGAAACATAATTAAATTGGATTTAATAGCAAGGCATTATAAATTAGTTTAAATCAAGTAAACTTAATGGCAAATAATTACAAATCAATCCCTCCATAAGTGATACTAGTACTTTATTACTAAGTAATTTGATTGGTTTGCTTTATATACATACGATTTTACTTAACTTGGAAACATGGTCATTCTAAATTAAATTAAATATGACCACGTTTTTGCTCTCTCTCCATATATAATTTTTACATGAACTCTTTTGTTTCCTATTATCATTAAAAGTTAGCTAATTATATCTTCATCTATGTATGATACAATGGACATTACCTCTGAATGTTTTTTCTACCATTATTGTTGTCTTGCATGCTCATAGCAGGTAAACAGACATGGCAGACTACTTCCCAAGGCTTCCTGAGCCCTTAACTCATCATATACTATCATTTCTTCCTTTCAAAGAAATCGGCCGCACTTGCGTTTTATCCAAATATTGGAATAGCATTTGGTGCAACTATCCTAATCTAGATTTCTATATGATGGAAAAAGATGTAAATAATTGGGCAAAAGAAAATCCAGAAAAAGCTCTATTTGATTATGTGGAAAAGTCCTTTGATAAGTTCTTAGATGGAAGGCCTTTCATACAAAAGTTCTGCCTACAAATTGAATGTTGCACTATGGGGAGAGGTTTGACAAGAAAGTTGGATCGTTGGTTACGTGTGTTGGTAAACAAGAATGTGTCAAGGCTAATGCTCAGAACTAAAAATCTTTGGTCACCATTCAGTTACTCTGTTCCTCAGCATGTCTTCATTGCACAAAAGCTTGAAGTTTTGGATTTGTTTTGGTGTACATTGGATACAGATCGCATTGTTCATATTGATCTACCGCGTCTAGAGTTGCTCTCACTTTCCCACTGCTGGATTTCAAGTGATAAATTGCTGCAGAAGATTGTGTGTGGTAGCCCTAAGAGTAAACACATTGTGATTTCTTGGTGCCAAGGAGGACAACCAATGCGCTCTATTTCTGTTCCCACGCTAGTCTCTGTTGCAATGAGACTTGAAGTTTTAGATTTATCGGGGTGTACCTCAGAGGAACATCGCTTTGTTGGTATTGAGTTTCCATGTTTGGATAGGCTGTTTTTTAAGAACTGCAAGTTTGTAGGTAACAATTTGCTAGAAAGGATATTGAGTGCTTGTGGCCCTAATATGAAGCATATATCAATTTCTTGGTGCAAAGGTATAGGGACGTCTCTTTCGGTTTCGTGTAAACCCCTATTGAAGGGGTTTTTCGTGGGGTCCTCTTGGAGAGAGAATGAAGAAAAAAGAAGCATAATTCTGCACGTTATGTGCACTGTGCGCACCCAGATGGTGCACGTCAAATTAACTACTCTTTTTTGACAAAATAAGTCCTTTTTTTACACTTATTTTCTCTCACCTTGTGAAAAGACTATGTATAATATTGTTGCTCTTACAAAGCACAAAATCTAGGTTTTTTCCAACCTATATATATATATATATATATATATATATATATATATATATATATATATATATATATATATATATATTGGTATATATTAGTATATATAAAGATATGTAAAAGTACAGGCCCAAAATGTTTAAAATATTTGTTTCTAATATTCCAAATCTGGTCTAAAAGGCCCAAACCCAAGTGCAGCTAAAATAAAGAAGATGAAAACAAGGGTAAGATCTCTTCTCTTTCAATCAATCTGTCTGTGGCGCTTTCTTGCGATTCCGACGAAGCTAACGGCGACAATGACAACGGGCAAACGACAGCCACCACGATTGCCGTTGCCGTTTCCTCCTTTGGTCAAAATAGCCACACCGCCGCACCCGACCGGCAGAGCAGATGATGATCTGAGAGAAAATTGGAACGAAAAACTGACAGCATCTATGGGCTGCCCCGACTAGAAAACGAGTCGCCGGCGACAAAACGGCCAAAAACAGGTTTGATTATTTTTTTTGTTTTTTGTTTTTTTTTTTGGTTGATTTTTTCATATATACCATGTACATATGAAAGCCAATCGGCAAAAGATTTTCAGCAGGCTTCCATAACTCCATAAGACATACGGCCACTATTTGATTTTTTTTTTTATTATTATTTAAACATATATATTCCGGAAAAGAAAGTAAAGGTATATATTCATTCCAAAAATTTTCGAAAAAGATTTGTGTATACCGAAATATGTATATAATATTTATTTATACTGAATGTATTACAGAACTCTAAATTTTTGTTTGGAAACCATGTATATTCATGTATCGAAACAGTGAAAAGCATATACAAACATTCATACTGTATTAATATAAATTGCATGTATATTTCAAAGCATATACTCCAAATCACCAGGATTTCAGAATGTAAATATGCAATTTATTGGCAATTTGAATAGTTAGAAATGTTAATTAGAAAGTAAACATACCGTGCACCGAAAGTGCATGCTGATAACATGTTATAATTGATTCCTTTAGCACGTATGTAGCGTTTCCCAATGGAACAGATGGGATGAACATGAACATGAACATGAACAATATAATAATAATAATTATATAAAAAGAAAATAGAGAGAAAATAGACAAAGGTAAAACACTTCAATATCTTATTCCAACAATCCATTCTTCCTTACATAATACATGGAGACATAAATACGACCGTTACACAATAATGTCCACAATAAATATTATTTATAACAAATTCGTAGTATTTTTTTTTCTTTTTCAATCATGTAAATTCTTTATTTTTATCTTATTTTTCACCATATGCATTTTCATCTATAGGGATAGAAAGAGTTTGCAAGCCAAGGCAGACCCAGGGACGGAGCTGGCCTGGGGGCAGCTGCCCCCACTGCCAAAATTTAGACAGCCCCAAAACGACGTTGTTTTGGGGCTGTTATATAAATATATATAACTTTTTTAATTTTTATTTCCTTTCTTCTTACGCGGTTACGCCCCCGCCGACGCTCTTCTCCTCTGTCCTCTCTCCTCTACCTCGCGTCCCAGCCAGACGCCACCGCCCACCAGACAACGTCACACCAGTCACCGACTCGCAGCTTCGCCAGCTTCCTCTTCAAGCTTCGATCGTCGCTAGCTGTGCTGCCTTGTCTTCAATCGTTACCGGCTCGGTCTTCACCCCATGCCTCAGGTTCATATATAGTTCATCGACTCTGTTTATTAATCTTAATTTGTTCAATTGTTTGCCTAAAGGTTTGAGTTTTGAACTTATCCAACAATCTTATTGATTAAATTGAATATCCAGTGTTTGGTAATTTGGGTATGTCATGTGATCAAATTTGTTCGAGTTGTTGCTGTTTGGTGGCTGTCTTTGATCAAAATTTGGTAATTTGGTTAAAGCTTGAAAGTACATCTTCTGGCAAAGCAGCTATGGAAGTTTCCAGTTTAAATTAAATAATGTGGCTGTAAGTAGTGGTCAAATGTTTCAAAATGCTCCACTTCTTAAAAAATGCGAGCAAACTAATATTTGTTGACTTGTTGTGATACCTTATTTTGTATTAGCTTGGATGTTTCCTCTGTAAAGCTAAAGTGGATATTATGTGAATTCCTTTTTGTTATCCTCTAACACTATTGCAATTGAGCTCTTCTTTGATAATTCTTTTGGTTCTCTCTTTGAAAATGCCTGATACTGCATGAATGCTTCAAAGTTTTTCTGCACAAATGCCTCCCCTAACAGTAATGACATTCTATGTATTAGTGAGAACTGAGAAGTGCAACATTTTTATGGCAATTGTTATATGGTCTTAGTTTTGAATGCCACATTTGGTAGATTATCATTTCGGTACTTGATTAATGATTAAAGATTAGAGACTGTTTACTGTTGTTTATTCGCCCCCACTTAGAAGAAATCCTGGCCCCGTCCTTGGGCGGACCTGCCAAGCTGCCCCACTGCCCAAAATTATTCAGCCCCAAAACGACGTTGTTTTGTGGCTGTTATATATATAATTTTTTTTTTTAAATTTCATTAATTTTAGTAATGCTGCGTGAAGAGGCGAGACCACGACTCCCTTCGCGAGAGCTGAAGCGGTGAAGCACTGCAAGTTTCGACGTTCCGTCGACTCCGCCCACCGCAAGTCGCGCCAGTCACACCACCGCTCACAGCCCACCCCAAGTCACGCCACCGCCCACGACCCACCGCAAGTTCCGTCATTTCTCAGCCAGTAAGCTTCTGTGAGTTCCGACGCCACCACCAACGCCACTGGCCACCGCCCACGACTAACGACTCCGCTGCCAGGTTCAACTTGTTTGCTTAATTTTGTTTGCTTAATTTTGCCCATGTTCACCTAATTTCGCCCTAATTTGATTTTGCCCTAAATCCTAATAGCTATTGAATGTGCATAGCCGCATAGGAATTGGCTTACTGCTTGATGGTAAATCCTAATAGCCATTGAATTTGCATAGCCGCATAGGAATTGGCTTACTGCTTGATGGTAAATCCTAATAGCCATTGAATTTGCATAGCCTTGCCAGTTGCCACGAATGTTTGCTTGTTACTGCTTACAGCCATTGTCAAAAATAATTTGTTGTTCTCTTGTTTGAGTTCCATTGGAATTGTCAAAAATAATTTGTTGTTCTCTTGTTTGAGTTCCATTGGAATTGGCTTACAGCTTACTGCATCACTAATTAGGCGGTAACATTGGACTTGCAGGGACTAAAAGTAATGAAGTATCAAATACTAGGTTTCAAGACAAGAGGTCATCTAATTTGCATATCTATTATTAGTCTCAATAAATCTCACACTGATTTAATAGTCTTTGTATCACTTCGATTAGATGAGAATACTACCGCACGGCTTAAAATTTAATTTTTTAAAATTAAAATCATAATATATAAACTGAAAATCAAACACCTTATATTTATAATTTATACAATGTGGAAATTAAACTTCTAACTTGTTAAGAGCCCCACATCTATAAAATAAGAGAGAGCATATGGGTTTATAAGGTCATGGGTTAGACTAGCTAATTGGTTGGATTCAATCTTTTAGTGTGGTTTGGCCCATGTGCATTATAGCCCAGTTGAGTGACCATGGCCCAATCTTAAATTATAACATAAACTTTTGCTGTGAGGATCACCTCATCAAGAGTTTGTGCAATCACAAAGCAATAGAGATTTTGAACAAATGTTGTGGATGAGAACTTTTGCAAACAGTACAGTTAGCTACCCTGCCCTTTTTTCTGCAAACAGTACATTGGATTTTCCGTACACACAAAAGGCTAATTTACCGCTAAATGATATTCATTTCCCAAGTGGAGGTATGGGAGTAATTTTCCCCACTATATATATATAGAATTAAGTTCATGTGCAGGTCCCGTGCGGTTGTGTTCTTAAGGTGTGTGAGTTTTGTGCTTAAGGTGCGTGAGTTTGTATTTTGAAGGTGTTTTGTTTGTGTGCTTAATGTGCGTGTGTTGTGTACTTAATGTGCATCAGTTTAATGCTTAATGTGCGTCCACCCGCACAACCGCACGGGACCTGCACCTGATCCATAACCTATATATATATATATATATATATATATATATATATATATATATATATATATATATATATATATAAAATACGGTATTAGGAAATGAAAACCTAAAATTGTAACCGCCACTCAAATTCACTAGATCCCGCTACCTAAAATTGTAATTGCCACTCAAATCCACTAGATTCCGCTACCGTTACCGCCACTCAAATCCACTAGATCCCGCTACCGTTCCCACTGCTTGTCGTAATATATATATATATATATATATATATATATATATATATATATATATATATATATATATATATATAATATATATATATATATATATATATAATATATATATATAATATAATACGGTATTAGGAAACGAAAACCTAAAATTGTAATCGCCACTCAAATCCACTAGATCCTGCTGCCGTTCCCACCGCTTACCGTCATTGTCAAATGGCCTTTCTTCCTCACTGTCATCGCTTTCCTCTTACAGTTTTCCAAAACTAGCCTCTAGCCAGTCAACCCTTAGTGTCGCTCACCACCACTTGCTACTAGTTGCTCAATCTCATTGTCAACACACACGGTATTTCCTTTTATTTTATCTTTAATTTCTATTTTGAGTTTTTGGGATGATTGTGATATTATTGTGATTTGTTAGATTTTTTTTTGATTTATTGTTTAATACTTTAATGTTGTTTATTTTAAAAAATTATTGCAAATTTTATTAATTATTATATATATTTTTGTATTATTGTTGTTTTTTGTGAGGTTTTTAAATTTTGTTAATTATTTTGATTTATTTAATGTTCTATTTAATTTTTTTAATTATTTTTGTAATTTCAACAATTATTTTGATTTCTCTTGAATAATTGGTAATATTTGTTACTTTTTTGGAAGTATTTTCATTTGAATATCTTATTGTGAATTACTGTGAATTCTAAGAAAATATTGTGTTTTTTTTTTTTTTAATTATTATGAGTTAGGGTTAATTTATTTTAAGGTTATAAATGTATTGTGGTGAATTATTGCTACTTTTAGAGAATTATTGTAAATATTTAAGAATTATTTTAAATTTTTAGATTTTATTATGCATTTTGTTTGGGAATTATTATTTGGAAATTATTGTGGATTAGGGTTAATCATTTTAAGGTTATAAGTAATTTAATAGTGACCTTTTGTAAATTATGGTGAGTTATATTGACATGTGATATAAATGTTGGATGAATGCGTCTCAGATTAGTAATGAATATGAAGAAAGAGTTAAATAATATTTAGAATTTGTAAAGAAAAACAAAACATTTTGATAACCATAGGGAGGTTTCTTTGTCCTTGTAAATAGTGTCATAATCTAAAAACATAATAAACCTCAATTAAGGTTATATCCTTGATTTATGTCCCTCTTTTTGTATGCAAATAAATGTGTACATTTTAATTTAAATGTTGTACATTCCAATATTATTAGACAAAACTACCCTTACATCGTTATAACATTGTTAGTTTTTAATTTTAACATTGATAACACATCATTATTACCATACACATATATTTATCATATCTTTTTTTCTATTTTTTAATTATCATTTTATTAAAATCATTATATATTAATTTTAATACTTAATTATATTTTAATTAAATTTCTATGAATGATAAATTATATATGTGTGTGTACAAAATACATATATTATTTGTGTATATATAATTCAAATTATAATTTTTAATTATTTGTATTTATTATTGTTTTAATATTGGGAATGAATTTTCGCGCATCGAATAGTAGAACAATATTGGGTATAAATCATTTAATCTATATATAAATGGTTTATTCCAAATTACATAAAATGGATTTTATATGGCAAAGGTGAAGTGTCTTGTACATTTAACATCTATACTGGCAATGAAGGTATGAAAATGAGTACTCTGCTCATTTATTAAATGAAATGTTTGCGATAATGTTGGAGAAGGTTATTAGTCGGTCACAAGAGTTGGATATGTATTAACAAGTGATGCAAAAAAAAATTGCTTTTGTGTTTAGGGTACATATATAATATATTGAAACATAATTAAATTGGATTTAATAGCAAGGCATTATAAATTAGTTTAAATCAAGTAAACTTAATGGCAAATAATTACAAATCAATCCCTCCATAAGTGATAGTAGTACTTTATTACTAAGTAATTTGATTGGTTTGCTTTATATACATACGATTTTACTTAACTTGGAAACATGGTCATTCTAAATTAAATTAAATATGACCACGTTTTTGCTCTCTCTCCATATATAATTTTTACATGAACTCTTTTGTTTCCTATTATCATTAAAAGTTAGCTAATTATATCTTCATCTATGTATGATACAATGGACATTACCTCTGAATGTTTTTTCTACCATTATTGTTGTAGGTAAACAGACATGGCAGATTACTTCCCAAGGCTTCCTGAGCCCTTAACTCATCATATACTATCATTTCTTCCTTTCAAAGAAATCGGCCGCACTTGCGTTTTATCCAAATATTGGAATAGCATTTGGTGCAACTATCCTAATCTAGATTTCTATATGGTGGAAAAAGATGTGAATAATTGGGCAAAAGAAAATCCAGAAAAAGCTCTATTTGATTACGTGAAAAACTCCTTTGATAAGTTCCTAGATGGAAGGCCTTTCATACAAAAATTCTGCCTACAAATTGAATGTTGCACTATGGGGAGAGGTTTGACAAGAAAGTTGGATCGTTGGTTACGTGTGTCGGTAAACAAGAATGTGGCAAGGCTAGTGCTCAGAACTAAAAATCTTTTGTCACCATTCAGATACTCTGTTCCTCAGCATGTCTTCATTGCACAAACGCTTGAAGTTTTGGATTTGTTTTGGTGTACATTGGATACAGATTGCATTGTTCGTATTGATCTACCGCGTCTAGAGTTGCTCTCACTTTCCCACTGCTGGAATTCAGGTGACAAATTGCTGCAGAAGATTGTGTGTGGTAGCCCTAAGAGTAAACACATTGTGATTTCTTGGTGCCAAGGGGGACAACCAATGCACTCTATTTCTGTTCCCAAGCTAGTCTCTGTTGCAATGAGACTTGAAGTTTTAGATTTATCGGTGTGTACATTGGAGGAACATCGCTTTGTTGGTATTGGGTTTCCATGTTTGGAGAAGGTGTTTTTTAAGAACTGCAAGTTTGTAGGTAACAATTTGCTAGAAAGGATATTGAGTGCTTGTGGCCCTAGTATGAAGCATATATCAATTTCTTGGTGTAAAGGTATAGGGAGGTCTCTTTCGGTTTCGTGTAAACCCCTATTGAAGGGGTTTTTCTTGAGATGCGACGATGAGTTTGAAAGGATTAAGATTGATGCGCCGAGTCTTCGGACATTCTCGTATGAATCCACTAATGCTGCGTGTGTTATTGATTTGATGTCTTGTACAAATCTGGAAAACTTATATGGAAGTATTGGCAAGAGTTTGAATCACCCAGCTTCTGCTTTGCTACTTCTTCATAAAATTTAATTCCTAGTATGAAAGAACTTGATTTGCTTTGCAGCTATGTAATTTGCTTTCCAAACTAATTTTAAACTCTGTAATTTTAGAATTAGATTTAATTGCTTTTATAAAAGTTGTAGTTTAAATATGATAAAAATGCTATGTAGTGGTTGTTTTGAAATCCAATTATTATAACTTTATGCTATTATCTACTTATCAAGGAGTGTTAGTTAATTATAACCATTTTCTTACTTTAAAACTCATCCAAATGTGACATCTTAATCAACAACCAACAATAACATAAAAAACATGTGTTAAATTATTAAAATAATCAAGGCATGCAAAAGCAACGGTAGCCGGTAGTCCCCTACCCGGCTGCTGCACGTGACTTGCACCAACACCACACCGGACTTGCACCAACACCACACCGGACTTGCACCAACACCACACCGGCCCCCACCTTGTTAAACAATCTGCGAATACGACAGCACACTTATTAGCTCGTGAAGTCATGTTCTTTATTGATTGTCCGGAATGGAGTTGTTCTCCTCTGGCTTTCCTTTCGAATGTTGTAACTCTGGAAGCTCTTAATGAATGATTCGCAGTTTGGTTTCAAAATAGAGTTCTGCTACATGTATTTCCAAATTTTACTCGATCACATTTATTCTATATCGTGGCAATAAAGGATAAGATGTTTTCATCATTCGAGTCTCCAGAGTGTCTACGTCAAGAATTTGTAAGAGTAAAAAGTGAAGCACAATGTAGTCTCTATGCGTAACTACTTTCTCAACCTACTGAAACACAAAGGATCAATATTGATTCCACCCATGGCCTCCTAATTGGAAAAGTCACTTCGTGCCAATAGACCATAAACTCATTAGTAATGTGGTAATAAATTAATTCAAATTTTATTGTTTGACAGGTAAGAATAGAATTGTAATAAGTATTATAAAGACTAAACTATCCATATAATATCAATTTGTAAAAGGATGTAGAATTATTAGAGAGGAGAAATGTAATCCTCACAATGCAACTCTTCTTCCCACATATCATGGGAAGACAAATTATACTACAAAGTGCTGACAAATGCTCTATCAATGTTCATTTTTAATGCAATGAAGCTTCACTTTTATATATTACACTTAGTCAACATTCAAATACTAAAAATAATTTCAATATATTTAAAATAAACTTAATGCCTTTAAAAATTTATAATATAATAAAAATGAACTTGAATGCCTTTAATCCATCTAGCAACGTGATTACGTGAGCAATGGTCTATGGTATAATGATTGTCATAAGAATCTCGGTTCTTAAGAGCATCACCATCAGAGAAGATTTGGCGATTAATGTCAGATCAAATATGTTGGGTAGGAATCTTTCTAGATGTGGAGTAGGGATAATAGAAAATATATTTGGCCTACAAAGGGTTGGGTTCATGTAAAAAAAAAAAAAAAAAAAAAAGTGTTATGTGCGAAGGCAAATGATGTTTTGCAACCGTGTGCACCATGCATGGTGCACACGGAATTGGATTAATAATTTTTATACTATAGATCCATAATTTATATACTATATATTCATAATTTCTATACTATAGATTCATAATTATTGAACTCTATATTCACAATTATAAAACTCTATGTTCATAATTTGATTACTATACAATTTAAAAATTATGAATCTATAGTATAGAAATTATAAATCTATAGTATAGCATTATGGATCTATAGTATAAAAATTATGAATCTACAGTTTAGAAATTATGAATCTACAGTATAGAAATTATAAATTTATAGTATCCTTTCAAAAAATAAATTTATAGTATAGAAATTATGGATCTATAGTATAAAAAGTATGGATCTATAGTATAGAAATTATGGATCTAATTCCGTGTGCACCTTACATGATGCACACGATTGCACAGCATAACGGTTCGTGTGGCGCGTCAGGCGTGCTGTCAGCGCGCCTGACACACTATTTTTTTGTTTAAAAATTCAGTTTTGTTTTTTTTTTCTTCTTTTTTCCCTCCCCTTCCATCTTCTCTTTCCTAATCACTCTTACACAAACCCCTTAAAAATCGCACCCAAATTAAACTGATTTTTTTGAGGAAAATATAAGGATTTCATTAACAATCAACCAATGATGAAATACAGGTCGGTGGAATAGAAAATCACAAACCTAAGGCAGACATAGAACGAACTAGTAGCCCTTGCAAGTACATGAACAACTTTATTCGCTGACATATTGACATGGTGAACAGACACGTTCCCAATGTCTCTAGCAATATTACGACATTGCTTAATAACAAATCCTCAAATAGGATGAATTGTAATATTTTTTCAATTAAACCGTGAATTTTAATATTAAGCGAGAAACAGAATTGCAATTACACTCCCCCAAATATGTTGTGAATGTTGCACCATCAGCCAAAATCTCTAATAAGCAGTTTTAATACTTTTTTCTCAATACAACGACAGTAATTTTACAATAATTATATTCATTAAAAAAATCAAACTTATATAACCAACAATTACACTACTAAAATCTACCAATAACACTAATATTTTGGATGGGAGCAACTAAACAACCTTATACCGACAGATACTACATTGTAACAGAATCAGTAGAACTGAAGAAAAAAAAAAAAAAAAAAAAAAAAAAAAAAACTTTACACAAATACTCTACTCATGTCGAGCTGTCCACTGATCATTGGCCACCGACAAAACGTACCCATACCTTAGATTACTTTTCTTGCAAGTTTAATTTACAATTTTTTCTTGGAAAGAACAATTTTTTATATTATTGATACCTCAAGATGACATTTTGGCAGTCATTATTATCTCAGCCATTTGGGATTGCAAGAATTACAAATCTACACAGACATTCCAGAAATACCCTTTTTATCATATGGACAGACAATCATATTTTCACATCACCTATAGAATTAAGCTGCCCTTCATTCAAAAATGAAAAAAACATAATAACAAAGTTGTACATTGAGGCAACTTCAATTCCAAGGTTGTAAATGAATCTCAATGTGTTGTTTACCTGCAGATTACAACAAAGCTATCTCCTGTGCCACGACTTCACCAATGTTTTCACCATGCCCTTTGCGATTTTCGTAAACCAAAACAAATTCATCATTGTCAACACCGGGGGCACTGTCAGCAACGTGTAGAAGCCCATCGGGTACACTTGCTTCACCTGAATAACAATTGACACTCACCGTAAGAACATCGTGTTCCATTTTTACCCTTCGCTTTCTCTTTTGAATGAAGAGAACGGTTTGTGTTGGGCAGAGGCCGGTGAAAGGTCAAGTCCAACAACTGGTGGCTAGGGGAATTGTTAGGCCGAGGCCTTGAAAATGTGATGGTATATAAGGAAATAAAGCGGTAAGCACTTGATCCTAACACTTTGGATCCATAACCATAACCTTACAAATCTTAAGTTTAAAAGCAAGATTTATGGTCGTGATATAGCATAGTTGTGTATAATAGCCTTCTATTCTTATGTATGCAAGAAACACTCTTGAAAGTACGAGGAAACATTCGAATTGTAAAGAAAATTTAGGTTCATGCTCCGAACAAAGATGCTGAGATCATCAACTGACCTGATCAAAATGGGTGAAAATGTGGCAGAAAAAGTAGATAAACAAAAGTATCCTTGCTACCTGAAGACATCAAAAGTCATAGGTAAAGGCCGGAAGTCAATCCAAGAACAAACAGAAAAAAATGAAGGCAGATAATGTTATATGAGCATGTCTTGGATCTTATGTTTATCAAGTCAATCAGACACCATGAAAAAACAAAAATTAAAACATTTTGACTTGATTTGATTTAACACCGCAAAATTGTTGATTTATTACCACTCTAATTGAAATCCTAGTTCAGGTAAAATTCGCTTAATTTTTATAAGACTGTGCAGACAGATAATGGGCACACGACAAATTAGTATCAAGCACACAATTTAATACACAATGGCACACTAGCATACATGTAAACATCAAGTTTCGAACTCAGGCTCTATTAATTAACAAACGTATGCACACGACATACAAATTATGGCACACGACTACATCCAACCATGCACACAACATACAGACTAATGACACACGACTACATCTGTCCTCACAGTCCTCAATAATATAATTGTTCTTATTTGAATACACTTCTATATATATATATATATATATATATATATATATATATATATATATATATATATATATATATATATATATATATATATATATATATATACACATATATATATATATATTGATTGTGAGCACTAACCTATAGAGGGCATCCCATGTTGCATTTAATGGCTGAACTTGTAAATTGTAATGGGCATTTGATGAAAGCAAGAAAACTGGCAAACTTTTAGATGCTAGAGCTAATGGCAACTAGGCTGAGGGTTTGAGTCCATAATAGCAAAAAAGAAAAACAAATAAAAATAGTAGTTCAAATCTGCTAGGCCTTACCAACCACCCGAAAAACAAAGCCACCCCATTGAAAAGGTAAAGTCTCGAGGACTTCTGACCAGCCACATCCAAGTACCTGCACGTATTGCCAATTGTGAAATCCCGGGATGAGGAAAGGAGAAAAAGACGAAGAACTCTGTAATCCACGCTTACCATCTCAAATTAACAAACGGTGTAGTGCTCTCAGAAAATAGAACCATCAGTATGTAAATCAGTCCTTGCCCGCTCACAAGAGACTGAACAATTGAAAGCATTGAGAGCCCATGGTGTAAGACCTTAAAGGAGAAACGAGAAACTGATATTTATTTCCTTTGCATTTTCAATTAATCAGAATAAATAAGGAAGAAAAAAAAAAACTTCAAACATCATAAGTTACAAGAACTCATAAACATAAGCAATAAAAAAAATATTACTGTCTTAGTAAATAAAAGATTGCATTCTTATACTTACATACTCAAGTCCACCTAAAGCAGGGAAGTTGTAAATTATCATTGCCAAGTCAGTCAGAAAATAGCCAGTAGAAATCTGTATTCAACATAAAAAAACGGCAAAGTCAAGTAACACACATGCCTATGAAAAGAAATCTCGACCTCCTAAGGATACAGTTGAAGCAAAGTACACGAATTTTAAAAGTAAAAGTAAGAAATAGGTCCCGTTGAGCACCATCAACTGTATAAACTATAAAGCATTCACTACAA